GCAGGTTTTGGGGCTTCAGGGGTGCCTCTCTCTGAATTGAGGTGCCCTATAACAAAAGGAATAGGATCTACTTTGTAGTTTTAAGAGGAACCAAGTAATACAAAAAGTTCTTTGATGCAATACCAAATAATGAAAAAACAGCAAAATATATTTCTCCTTCTATTGTGTCTTTTAGATCTTATTCTATGCAATCCTGACATCAGATTTAGTCTCCCGATTATTTACAATGCATTTGGAGTAAAACAATAATAATACAATTAAAATACACACAACCTGATACACAACTCTGACATAAGGATGTCCTTAAAACATACTTACACACTTATATGAGTAATTTAAAACACAATTATTTTAACAAATAATGTTCTTTCTGTCACCCAGAAAGAAACTGGGAGGATGGGGCACAGAATTTTGTGCCATGAATTTGTAAATGGTACAAACCCAGAGACTAAAAAGCTTGGGTTACACCAACTCAAAAATGGGTCTTCAACTTGTTCACTTTTTACCGAGTCTCAGTCAACGATCCAGTCACGTGGTCAGTATGTCTCCCTCTCCTCTCTGTCCCTGTCCACTATCCATGCAGCAGCTAGGGTGATCTTTTAAACACAAATATATCACCATCTCCTCCACACACTTAAAAGTCTAACCTGAGGTCACCAGTTTTGTCAGTGTCAGTTTCCTCAGCATCTTAACCTCCTATGTTTCTGAAAAATCAGAATTTCCATTGCTAACTTATGTTACAACTTCCCTTTTCACCTCCCTTTTTTATATAATCAGAGGTGGCTGCCTGGCCCAGGCAAGCTGCCCCAGGGCAGGAAATTCTTCTGTCTCCAGAGACAAAAGCCCCAGGAAAGACAAGACCTCCAGGGCATAAAAACTCTAAGAAGCTTCCTTGTTTTTTTTTTTTTTTAAATAAAAAGCAAATCGCAGATAAGACTCTGAGGGCATAAGGACTCAAGGACAATTTTCTAACCTTGTTTACACAGGTGCTGCTTAATACAGGACTGTACAACTTTTTCTTAATTTACTCCTTTTTAAAATAATCACTACTCTCTGCTAGCCTTAAATTACCCTTTTCTTAAACACTAACTACTCTCTGCTAGCTTTAAATTAGTCATTAGCTTTTCTTTAGACAATCACTGATGACTCTGCTAACACAATTTATTACTTTCCTAAGACCCATAATAATCTTTTGCTAACAAGCTCATCCTTTCCCAGACCCCTCTTCCCTTGAGTTATAGTTAAACATCTGTATACACGACAATTATCACAAAAATGTATAATTTAGTATACCATAAAATGTTAGGAAGAAAATGCTTTGTTCCCCGGATTGTCCTTAAGAACATTTATGACAATTTATGGTGATCTCTCATTAACTTACCCTATGCATTATTGTAATTAACTACTAGCCACACAGTATAAATAAAGACCTGCTGAGGGAATGAGCAGGAAGACTTGCATCCAACTCTGACTCCCACGTCTTCTTCTTGCTGGCTCCCCTCTCCCTTTTTGGAATCAAGGCTATTAATGCCTTCCCACCTTAGGGCCCTGCCGGTCTCGCCTCCAGACAGCTCTATACTAGGGGCCAGTCTCCAACAACATCTAAATATTCTACAAATGTAGAGCCCTCTTACTTACCATGCTGCATCCTTTGATAGCATTAATTTTTGGTGAACTCCATTCACCACCCCTCCTACAAAGTATACAAACTGCCAATTCTCCTTCAGGGCACAAGTACTCTAATAAATGAAAATAAGCAGTGGGAATGGTACATTTCATGTAAGGCTTTTATTTGCTCATGCTAGTCCTTTTAGGTCTATCTTAATTCCTTTAAAGGCCTTTCAGTCAAGCAACATACATTTCTTAAGTATTCATCTTGTGCCAAGTACTATTTAAATCCCTTATGCAGTTTTCAACACAAATTTCACTAGTACTGCTATCTTTTATATAACATATCTTTTATATGTTCAGGATGAGAATTTAAAAAACACACAACACATATAAAAAAATGATAAAAGATCACCTGACTTTGATATCTTTTTCAATTGCTTTAAAATATCAATCTTATCAAACTTACACATCAGACTGGTTATGTTCATATAAAGCTTTCATCTCTTCTAGAACTTGCCTGAGTCCATCCTCCTAGAACATACAATATTAATAATACATTTGTTAATTTCCCAACAAGTTTGTAATAACATTCTATTTGTTATGTTTATCTTAGTTATATATTTACCAAAATCAAGTCTTTGCAGACCTATTAGGATGACTGTAATAAGTGTTGGCAAGGATGGGGAGAAACTATTGCAGATAGGAATGTAAGTGTTACATAGCTCTGTAGAATATAATCTGATGGTTCTTGAAAAAATTAAACATAAAATTACTGTATTTTCCAGCAATTTCACTCCTAGATGTATACCCAAGAGAAGCTGAAAATATATGCTCACACAGAAACTCAACAAATGTCCACACTAGCACTACTCATAATGGCCAAAAACTTGAAACAACCCAAATGCCCATCAGCTGGTAAAGTGGTATATCAACTCAACTGGATTATTACTTGGCCATGAAAAGTACTGATACATGGCACAATATGGATGAACTGAAAACACTCTACGTGAATTAAGTCAGGTGCAAAAGGGAAAATATAACATTGTTTACAGGTTACCCCAATGTGAATTGGGTTGCCTATCTGTGGGTCCTCACCTGCGTACTTCTGAGCACTTAAGATTCAATCATACTTCAGATACACACAAAAAGGTTCAACAATGGGTTTATTTACAAGTAGAAAGGTAAAGGGGAATAAAAAGAAATATGACAACTAGAATATCCTACCAGTTCTGCTGACTTGGACTGCAATAGCACGCTAAAAACCAATCGAGAGCCAAAACGACTAGCCACGAACCATTAGGCCAAGAGAGTCCCTAAACCCACAAGTTCTATTTTATCCTAACTTGGCTGTTTAGCTCCACCCTCACATCCCAGCATGCTTCAACTTGGTATTGATGGGATCTGTAATTCCAGTATCTAGAGTGGGGGCAGAGTCCATGAAACCTGTATCTGTTACAGTATGATTCCACTTATCTTAAATATTTAGAATAGGCAAATTCATGGAGAAAATAAACAAGCAGTTATCAGGGTCAAGAGGAATGGAAGTTAGAGTTTCTATTTGGAGTGATGAAAAACTTGGGAAATGGAGTGATGGTTGCATAACAATGTGAATGTAACTAATGCTACTGAAATGCACAAATTTTGTTATATTTTACCACAAAAAGAGAAAAATGGGATAAATGCTGACAACATAAACAATCAGCACAGTGGTTAAGGATAATCTCCAAAGAAGTCATGTTAGAGTGTGGTCTCCAAGAAAAGGAGAGGTTCCAGATTCCTTGCCCCATCCAAAGGAGGGTGAAGCTAAGCAGAGAAGAGAAGAATCTGGAGAGACTGAAGAGGAAGTAAGCAGGATGGAGAGCCAGGAGACTTGGAGGCAATGGAGCAGACAGATATGTGAAAAAGTGTCTCTTGTTTCTTGGCCCTGGACTGGTTGAAACAGATGTGGGTGAGAGACCTGTGGGGAGGTTCACTACCCCAGCATTTATCTTTTGTTCTTTTCCTCCCAGACTTATCTGGCCATTTCTGACCTGTTTCTGTGGGTCCCTGCCAGAAGGTGCTTTATACTTGTGGTGGGCTATCAGGCCTTGTTTTGAGTCAATCCCTTTTGGGTGGACTTTTACCCATCAGAGGATAGGTAACTTTGGGTGTTTGATTTGGAAACTATATTCTTTGTCTTTTCTGTATTGCACACTAATTGTATTTTAAAATTCCTGTCCATTAAAGGTCTTACATGTTTTGTCTCAATGCAGCAGATGGCAGAACCTATTTAGAACGGACAGGTTTGGGGATTCAGGGGTGCCCCTCTCCCTGTCATGTAACAGACAACAAGTACAGACTATGATTTAATCAAATGACTCTTCACAGATCAGTTTGCAACTCCTGGCACACTTAAACCAGAAATATGCAAAAAATGACAAATATAATCAGAATTCACCAAAAGTAAAATCTTGATTACTTAAGGTTGCAGGTTGGAAGGTAACTACAGAGGGGAAAAGGTAACCTTTGCAATGACAGAAATCTTGATTAGAGTGCTGTCAAAAGGATGTACATAATTGTGCATTTCATCTTATACAAATTATATCTTAATAGAACTGATGATAAAAAAAATCAATAGTCCCACAAAAACATTAAGACATGACCAAAGTATGTAAATAATTTATTTGCTAAAAATGGTTCTTAAAATGTTATTAGCAAAAAAAAAAAAAATCCACAATGTTTTGGCTTGTTCTAAAATTACAGAAAGGTCAAGGAGTTTTTCAGCTGTCTACTTTGGAATAAGTTTTAAGTTTTCTTTGTAGGGATAAAATCATTAAGAGTTCTGAAATTCCTAAGTATTATACAATAAGACTGTCAAAAAAACAAAGATAATTGATCCATATATTTTTTCAAATCTACTTTTAGTACTAAAATATGCACATTAGCAAGAAATGCTTTGACACTACTGGCATAATTACAAAATAAGTCTGCTCAAATATAAGAAAAGATATAATTTCCGATGAAAATGTAAGCATGACTTCTACTTCACTTTCATCAACTGGTTAAAAAGAGATCATGGGAAAATCTGATTTATTAGAGTTCAGCTAAATATTTCTCTTATCAGCAAATATTATTTCAGGGTGTAGCTGAAACCATTATTCAAATAATAGATCTGTGGGCACACAAAAGAAAAGTATGAAATAATTCTGTAAACACACACAAAAGCTTTCAGACTTAAATTTTTTACTATAGTGCGAATTACATCTCTTGTATTCCCTCACCTCAGGATCTAATCCGCTGGAAGTCTAAGATAATTTTCCTTAAAACTCAAACTATCAGCCCTCCCTGGTGGCACAGCAGGTTAAAGCACAGCACTAAGAAGCTAAAGCCACTGCAGCATGAGTTCAATTCCCGCCTGCCCCGGGGTTGACCACATGGCGTGGCAGACCTCTCCTGACCCGCCCGCTGCTCCCCTCA